GTGATCAGATCGTGTCTATTATTTTATTATGAGAGCTACAGTTTTCTCATTAGATGTGTATTTTTGCAGATGGTTTTTAAGAAGATGGATTTTATTCCAATCACAAGTGTTTTTCCGTCGAAACTAGATTGAGTTAGCTACACGTTTATACTATTGAGGTTAGCTTGGATTCTATTAATCTTGGGCAGCGCATGATAAGTGGCAGACTGACAAGCGACCGAGCATGTTTGTCATCGCTTTATCGAAAAGGGGCCGTCTTCAAATCTGAAAACATTTCATGCTCGACGTATACGTCAAACGTCGCACACGTGCGTCGATATTTCTTAGCGTTAATTCACTTTTACAAACGTAGGCGAACAGACCCGTTATTGACTTTCCACTAAGACCTGGATTTTTTTGGATAGCTAGCTGTTAGCTGGAAAGCGTTTACGGGTGTGGTATATTTTATGGAAATTTGTAGCCCACTGCGATGGAGCCTACCTATTAGCTCAAAGATAGCTGTTTAAAGATCGATTCTGGTTTGTTGATTGATCAAAACAAAGTATGTGCGTCTCGTCTGTGAATGCAGGCACTGTAATCTAAATGCGCCGAAAGCGTAAGCATGATTTCTCGTTCAACTTCTATACAACCGTATTATGAAAACAAACCTATGAGGACAACAAGGCCACACTACTAATAATAATCCCAGCTATATGCAGATCCGGTAGGCAAGATGATCGATTTTGGTAATATACATGCCAGTAGAATGCGGAAGTAAACTACGATAGTGCAATAAACTGTGATCGTAGAAAAACAAGCTGAAATTATCGGGCGAATGGATCGCAATCTGTCATAATATAACGGAGTGGCCTGAAATGTGCCTAAAAAAATAATACGCAGATGGATCACAAACTTTTAATGAAGATAGGACTTCGCAGTTAATGTACCTACTTGTTCGTTTCGGACCAGTGTTTTTTGCTTCACTCCACAGCCTCCGATTATTATGGTACACATGATCTATTTTATTACGCGAACTTAGTGACATGAGTCGAAAACCATAACCGTCCTTTTTCCATGTTTTTAAGCAACCGCCGTACCAGTGTAACTTTAGAGTTAACTTATGACATCGAATGAAGACCACGGTGTCTCAACCCTTCGTCAGAGTACAAGAAAGCGAGACTTCTCCTTGATACTGTTATCGTAGGAGATTTGGTTCGGAACTATCCAATAACTTTATAATGTTGTGCTAGACATTTCTCTTTCGAAAAACCGATACCGAGAAATGAATAGAAGTTGAGCAGCGCGAACGGCAGAGGCACATTAAAGGACCGGCAGCGAAAGTCGACGGTAGCAGGGATCTGTCACAGCGCAACATGTCAAGCTACGTAAGGCTTTATCCGGTTGGGGTTGTATCCTGAATTGAATGGGGGCCGTAAAGCTTAAAAATCGCGTAGAAATTGTTTGATCTATGGTCAAAACGGCTGCCCGTGTATAGGTTCGCCTACAACCACTGTATCAATGTCTAAATAACAGCCATCGACTTGTGGTCGATGCTATCTATTTTATCTTATTTATATATTTATCAAAAGATGTTGGAATAACACACTTTGGATCAAGTTGCGGATTATTCGTAAAAATATATTAAGATGTAAAATAATTCGATGCAAAAAAAAATATCGTATTTTGTCCATATATATCGAATAGATATCATACTAATACTTGGTCAGACCGGAGGTAGCCCAATTGACCCCGTATACACTATTTTAAGTTAAATACATGCAAGTTACATGTGTTCCGTTTCAGTGAAATATACAGATAATTTTAGTATTTCGTTTCTTATATTTCAAACGACACTGAAAAACTTGTAAATTCATTCATATCATAGCATTCTTCTCATCTACAAATGCTATTTGACATAATGTTAGAAAATTTACGGCTAAAAAGTCTAAATTTAGTTTCATTTATCTTTATGCTGTCGTTGTCAATTCGGAGAATGACAAAAAGGGGTTAAAATTAGGGTAACGGCAACCCATGTACGGTGGAGGCATCCAAAATAATTTATGATCACTCCTGGCGTCCAACGTTTGAGAAACTTCGTTGCTCGTACATTTGCACTAAAGAGAGTTTCTTTCGTACCTATTGTTTGTAACCAGTTGGCCCAGTAGCGCGTCCTAATCTTTACTTAAACCGAGATTTATAGTAATAGTCTTCATAAAACTAATCGTCTATTTTACTAAAATTACAATATCTCTATATACTGCCACACACATTATAGATGTCACATGTTTCATATAAGCGCAAAAAACAATTATTTTCTGTTCCTGTAATAGTTCTGTTGCTTTTTGTCAATTCTATAGCGTTAACGACATATCGGTCTTGAAGAGCCCGTTAAGGTCGAGATTGAACTGATACCGATCGGGTGGGATAGGGAGCTATTGTGTTATAGAGATTTGATCTGAAACACTAACAGAAACATATAGGCAACGTTTAGAGCTGATCGTTAGAGGATATAACCATCCAGTTGATTTAAACAACAATATTGTTATCGTCGAAAAAAAAAATGCTACGGATATAATTATTGTTAAAAGAAGTTGTTACAACATTACGACGACTCCCCAAGCACGAATCTACATAGAATATGATTATAAGAATGACTCAGCGACCTTTAAGCGGATTAGACTTCGTTAACTTTTTTTTCTTTTTTTTTTTTGTTGTTTCTGTTCTACAAACTGCAAGCAATACAGAGAGATACATGGTCGCGAATCCGAAATTCACTAGCCTTGAAGCCGAGGCTTGCTCGAAGACGAAAAGCTCCGGTTTTTTTCTATAAGCTGCTTCACTTCGAATTATCGCAGGTAACGTGCTTCAGTATAGGAGTCTAAGCGATACCGTTGCATAAACTGAAAATCCACAAGAAAATTTCTGATCGAAGGTTCTCATATCGTATTGGGACGAGAGCGACGAATTGCTCAAGCGATACCATCTCCGATATTGGTCAGTTGAGAGAGAGATACTGTTTATCATACGGTGATGAGAGCAAACTCAATGAAGCGTAAAGCGTTCATTGAGGTTTTTCCCTTTCAACATTGAATAATACGCCTGAATTAAGAGAAACTTCAGGATTTGGCAAGGCATTTTTTTGCCAGCTAACCGGTGAAATATTGCGGTGAGTTGTTGGTTTAAGATGAACCATTTACTTATAGACAAGCAAACGAGAACTCTTTCTTGATCTGTACAGATAAACACTATGGTCATGAGAGGGTTGAAAGGCTAGTTTAAACTATTATATTCTATAATATCTACCATATTGCTGAAAGGAAAATCAAAAAAGATTCCACCTCGAGTCGGTCTTGATAATCTCAAATATAGTAGGTTCTTTAAGTGCTCTAGACAGAGAGAAGTAGCAAACTTTCATAATGCGCTAGAATTGTTTTTTGAACGAACATTTTTGCAATCAACAATCGAACTGCAACGGTTGCATCCTACATAAGATTGATCTCTAATGGTAGCGTCGTTCCTACATATATCTATCATAATAGAAGCTTTGAATATTTGGCAGTAAGAGCGAGACGTGATTTTGTTTTAAACATACTATTTTCACCTATATATAAAATATAGTTATTTCAGCAATAGATTGTGAAGTACCCCAGCAGTGTACGTATAAAATAAGAAGATATTCGTGAATGTGATCGTGTAACACTTGGCTGCATGATTTAAAAGGCAACTTCTACAAGCCAAGTTCTCTAGTGATCTATTTTGACTGCGTTCTTTGAATGAAGAGGCCTATCTAAGTAGTGAACTGAATCAATGGATAGCCTCGGATGGGTAGTAATTAATATAGGACAAGACGTTGTATATAAATACGAATTATGATAGTTCGTGTACGTATGAGTTCAGGCATTGACCTTCTCAGCGACCGACCGACCACTGAGGACAAGGCCTGTCTGCTAATAAGCTACCAGGCTTGCTTGAATATGAGCAACTATGCTCAATTGCCCCCACCCAAATAGACGCGACAGCAGAACCCGTTATGACCCAGAATTAGTTACCGAACATTAAGCAGATGACAACGGGATGCCAAAGATTAATGTTGTTAGAGTAAGTATTTTCTGGGCCTATAATAGCCACAAGGCGAGTCAGCCTTTATTATCAAGCTATTATTATAAGTATCTACTATGAATTTTGAAACTATATCTATTTATATTTCGAAAATATATCTAATACTTGTAAGCTATAATTATTATTAGGTATTAATAATACAATAATATAATTGCGATACCCTATATGGGGATCGTAGTAAGATGAGACATGTAAATGTTTCTTCAAAACTTCAAGTTAAACCAATCTTTTTTATGTTTATGAAGTTTTTTTTTTTTATTATTTAGTAGTTTGTTATGAATTATTTAACCTACGAATACATGTAACATTTTTCAAATAACGCTTACGATAAATAGTCCTGTTGAGCTCAAGCGGTTAACGCAAAAGGCCTAGGCTAGGCACGGGGTAAGCGCCGGCCCCGCATGAACTACGTCACACCCATGGGAGCGATGTGAGTGGTGCGTAAAGCTGTTATGTCTCACAGAACGCGCTATAGGGTGACGTAGCGTAAATTATACAGGGATTAGTGCTAGTTGGCGCACATTTTTACAGGAGGGTGGTCTATGTATCTCGCAGTTTACTAATGACAGATGCTGTTGTCTAAAATGTCGATCTTGTCCAAGTTCTCATTCTCTGTATCATAGTATAATGTTAAAGACAATGCAACAAAATAAAAATCTATCGTGGTTCGGACAATGCAGACCATGCAGGACAATAGGAAAGTTACCTGTTAATCAACTCCTCACAGTTAGTGATTATACAAGGGTAAGATCTATGCGAGAACCCGTCTTCTGTTAACTTACGTACAGTTCATTCAGCTGCGGAAACGTACGCGACTCGCACAGTATTTTAAGGAAACGGGGAACTTTAATGTCTAAACCACTTAATTACATATCCCTTTTGCATTAATTTGTCTTCTCTAGGTCAGCGACATCCGGGCCGACGATATTTCTCAGACCCAGGTAGATCGAGCCTACCAGAGGGAGCAGTCATATCTTTAGAGCGGTCAAAGAACACCTTAAACGCAGATACCACGTCGGCCTCCATCCCAGCCGTTGCAGCGGCATCGGTCACAACAGTTAACCCAGACCTCGCCGCACATAATCCTCACGCATCTCCTCCAAGCATCGACCGAAGACTCACCCCCGCCAATGCTACGGGCCAGCTAGGTTCTACCGTTTATCTACATTGTTACGTGCATAATATTGGACAGAAAACGGTTAGTAGAATGTATACGTATCAGGTACACGAATACGAAACTAATCAAATGGGCAGGGTGATACCGTTTTCTACACATCTTGCACGAGGCTTTCCGTTACAACGATCGGTATGAACTAAAGTCTGATTATTAAGTTATTTTAGGGAACAAGGCACTTTTTCAGAGTGTTAAAAATGAGAGGCAGGAGGGAATATCTGGTTCGTAGAATAAATGCACGATACAGAGATACCAGTGGATTTTATCGCTTCCTTTATGTGGCCTGCTTGGGAAATTTCTAATCATATCAATGCTTGGGTTATCATTCGCCTCGACAACGTACATGTGTTTTGAGTGCGCCCTAAAACCCGACAATCTGAGCGCGTCAATGAAGATCCTATGACCGAAAAAAATGAAAGTACTTTCCAATAACGTAGAAACAAAAATAATCATCAGAGGGGTTCATCGCATATTGTCCATAGCGCAATGCAGAGCTATGCGATCGACCCAATCGATACTTAAATGTGGATGCGTAAGGATATAATCTATCGTTTCTTAGGACGCACCCAGACTTCATAACTAACTGGTGTTAGCTCCCTAACTGACGAAAATTGATAACCATATTAAAATGAGCAATAACCCCTAGAGCACAGACACTAGAAGTTGAAGTAGGTCTGACATGTTTGATTTAATAAAATTGTTAGAATATTGGAGTATAAAGAAAATTCTTCTAGCACATCACTGCTCAGCTGTCACTAGATTGATACGTGACAATACGTGATCTATCTCTTTATTTTGTCACAAAATGCACGACGGATCTAGTGGTTCGGCTATCATGTTAGGTGCTAGATAAAGTGAGAAATGCCAGATTTGTTTTTATGGTTGGACCCCTTCAATTAAGAGCAGAGATACTTGCGTTGATGTCATCTGCTTGCGACATATTCACGCTCATTATATATATATTCATACAAAAAATTAAAGGAAACCTATCAATACTATAATCTTACAGCAGTAAGGTTATGAGTAGCTGAAAACCAGCAGGAATACATATTATACACGATGAATGTAAAAAAATATTTGCTCAAGCTATTGTTGTTTCTGCGAACGAAAAATCGTCTTATTAGTTGCTCTCATACTTCGATGACCCAGGCTGTAAGCGGTCTATGCTTTGGTGGAAGAGGACGAATTAGCTGTAAAGCAATAAATTTGTCCACAAAGTCATCTTCGGCTTTCTCCACTGACTCTCTGCGACAGTTGGACAGCGTGGAGATGGTCTGGCACTGAAGTTTTCTGTGGTGTTGACACAGCATACATATGTACCTACGTTCAATGTTATTAAATGACCCAATTATCTGTTTATAAGGGAGTGGTCGTTAGCTCCTTTTTTCTGCAGGAGTAATAACATTGAGAAAGTCACCCATCGGAGTGACGGTAAGACCGTACGGGTGTACATATGCAAACTAGAGTCTCGAAATCAATAACAATGTATACATCTCTAGGTACGTGGTTAGTGAACAGAGGTAATGTTTTTTTCCTCTATAGCTTTAGCTTGATTCAGCCACGCTTGTAGATCAATAGAGAGCAATAAAAACAGTTTCTACGTGCTACATATTCCATACCTACTTCAAATTAAAGCAGGCTTCCGATGAAAACGTGAGGTTCATACAGTCACTGTCTAATTAGATATCCTATCTTGACAAATTTACCTCTGTTCGTGTGTCCGCATCATTAAATAGGTGTAAACGCAAAAATGTGAAAGTTCTATGAAAAGGATCTGGAAAAGAAAGGATCCCTGTAACAAAGTTCTGCTGTTACAAGCAAAGCATCTTCCGTCGAAGACGATGCCACATTTACGGAGTGAATTTACGTTCGGACAGTGATTTCCATAGTAAGGACTTATTATGCGCCGTTGTTAGCCTTTAAGTTAACGGGTAGAAGCTCTGGTCAGCTCTAGGAGACCCTGAATGACAAATCAAAGCGTCTGGGTGTGTTTTTTTGCAGGCCGCGTCAGGCCAAAGTCTGTTCCGAGATGTATGTAAAATCGGAAAGTGTAATCTTTATTTAGACCCAGCTCAATAGCCTTCCCGAGACCGTTGCATTTGTTGCGCGCGAAGCAATTTTTGCGTCATGATCAAATTGATATAATTATCATTATGATATAATACTAGTCGTTAAACAACTATTAGCAACTAAGTTACTTCCTTTTCTTTCTCATTTCTACCTTTTCTTTGCTTACAGGTAACATGGCTTCGGCGTTCGGACTACCATATATTGACGGTCGGTATGGTTACCTACACAAGTGACGAACGCTTCTCCGCGGTGCGTCGAGATCGACCAGTCTCCCATTCACAACAGCAGCAACGCCGGTTGTCAGAGCAGCAGCACAAGCCTGCCTCATCTCCTGCCAGGACACACATGCTGAACTCAGTGACGCCAAAATTGTCGCGCAATGAGTCTGGCAGCGCTGATGTTGGCCCCAAGCCAGCGTTTTCGCAATCCGTTCCGGCGTCCGAAGACTGGATGTTGCAAATCCGCGGCCTCCAGGAAGCCGACGCTGGCGAGTACGAATGCCAAGTTAACACGCAGCACCCTATGCTCAGCGCCTATGTAACGCTCAATGTTTTATGTGAGTATTACTACAGTGATATGTAGGCCTTCAGGTGGTCATCTGGGAAAATATCGATTAGTATTACGAATGAGTAGACTTTTAATCATATTAAAAACCGGAGGCACAATAAGAGGACGCTAGACTTACACATAAAGGTAATGCTGTGTTCGTCTGACACGCCTCAAATCAGGCAGCTGCAGTAGCGTGAAATAACCTTCTAGTATCAACTAGAAACCTTGATAATCTCACTAAAACTAACATTGAGAGCTATTATATAAAGCTGGAACCTTCGATCTAATCTTGTAAACTCAAGATGCCGAGGGACTTTGCCCCGTGTGCTCTTATATTCTACAAAGAACAAAGCGTCGATGAATACAACCTGTTTATGTTTCATTGTATGCTCTAGTGGTCTACATTGTAGTAGAATTTTTTAGTACCCCTTTCACGTCGTCCGCACATCTATGCGATAGCAATCCTCTAAAATCGATACCGCGTTTTTCCGTAGCCTATTAACATAGCGCTCCTCATACAACAGCAACGTACGAGCCCCGCCTTAGCTTCACACTCATGTACGACGGGCCTGATGGGACTGATAGAAACAATTAGGTATGAAGGTAAACTTGAAAAATAATCTTACTCATCATTGTTCCGTGGGCGTGATCTTACCTAACGCGGTTGATTAGGTCCCATTTTCGACTCGTATATCACACTTGTACATGCTTATGTACTGTCTCTTGCACGTTCCTCAAACCTGCCAGACCACGCGTACGACGTCTACAAACAAAGTGAGAGATATTTGCATCTCAGTCACTTCAGAGAACTAAAACACCAAAACGATGTCGACAATACGCCTTCAATTTGCATGAAGCTGCTCTTATTGCGACTGACGGCCATAATAATACTCGCGGGCTTCACCCGTAGCGATTCTTCCATCTCCAAGTGCCGGTGCTCTCGGAAGTGATATCATTTTTCTTGCTAAAAGGCACTGGGTATTTTATCGACGACGACCGCGGCAAGAAATGATCCTATAAACTGCCTCATATAGCCAGAATTGCCTTTTTCCTACTGTAGCAATTTCCCTCTTTTACTACCTATCTAGCAGTATATGGCAGTGGCCAGACAGAAACAGAAAGACGAAAAAATAATAGTAGCGGGTAGTGCTATTTCGATTGCTGATAGCTTCGTTATCGATAATGGTGAATGCTGTCCCATGGCATGATGGCCTTCAGCTATTGCTTTCGTCACCAAACTTAGCGCCGTTTTGTTCCACCGACTGCCCCGTCCTTCGAGATGCCCCCCACAGGAAAGATGCTGATGATTGCTACCGTGGCCGTCATGACGAAGACATCTGAGGTTGCTCGAGTGTCTTCCCTCAGCGCTTCCACTGATGACAAAGCCGATTATACTCCTAGAATTAGTGTAGTTTCTCGTGTAAGCCAGCTGCAACGAAGCGTCGAGATCAAAGGAGGCCTAACAGCGAGTAGTGTTATCATTTTTAATGTTTGATTTTTCTCACTCGCCGCCTAAATCGCTAAAAATATCTATATCAATCGTTCTATAGCCAATCTAGACGCGGCGTATAGAAGACGAAGTAAAATGAAAAGCGAATGAAGTGTGAGCGGCTGACTATCGTATAGAATACCTATATCGTATAGGATATGTTCTATGAACGTAGAGAGAGAATCTCCATGGAAAATCCCGTTCACTGAGGAGGAGCAGAAGTTGGCGCCTGTTGCATTAGTCTGCCAGCGCCTTATAGCTACAAATGTGTTCAAACCTGGACTAAAGTCGGTTAGAAAAATAGCAATAGGCCTGCTCCAACATCATGGCTGCTAGGCCACGTAGTATTGTCGGTGGCGTCGTTCGTAAATGCATAGATGAAGAAGAAAGTCCTAGTCCAGATATTGAACGTCCCTCTCTGTCAAGAAGAAATGCTGCCGAGCAAATAGACGATACCACAGAGTGCACGACTATGAAATAGCGGTATATCGTCCTACGGCATGTGCCACTATTTCATGTTTCTTTTCGGATTCGAGCTGCGGTTCGAATGTATAGAAAGGGAGTCTTCGTGTTGGCATGTACTTACTTGTCGGCTTGAACTTGTCCCTAGAAAGAGATGCCATGGTAGATGAATCTTAAGTTTGGCTGCGTAACATAGAAAGAGAGAGAGAGAGACTATAAAGTATTAGGCCAGAGGCTGCCACATTGTTGATTTTTGTACCTTAAAATCAGCCTTCTCAAAGACACTCTCTAATATAATACACTTATCTTCACTATGGCAGTAACACCTAATCTCGAGTTAATTGTTTTGAACCATGTTTTCGATTTGCTCTATAGTACAACAAACTTCTCTCTAATAATATCTAGACTGATTCCTATTGCAGTTAGATAAACTCTCGAGCAGCGTTTCATTATTAATAGGTTATAATTGATTATAAATATGCGTCACTAATACAGTCACTTCGATCATGCCCCACATGGTGCAGCTACTCAGCTCAGATATGCAGCGTATATGTACTAGCGCATTGATCCTGAATAGTACAATTCTATATTCATAAGCGATTATCTATTAGCAAACTGTTCAATTAGGGGGGTTTGCACAATTTTGCTCTTGCACACCGAAGTGAGACGCATTTTCCTTTACGAAATAAGTTAAACGGTTCAAGAATGGAGGCGAAATAATCGTTTACCTGTTTCAGGGGATTTTGAAGCTTAACATGTTCACCTTGTAGCGGAATCCAATATGGACCAATTGATCCTGCCCACGTATGAATAAACTTAGAGAGGAGACTTTTGCTCTACTTGAATTGACTCATTTTGAAAAAAGGTCTCTGCGAAAACTGTATCTCACAGACGTTTCCCCTTCAAAGGCATATTGACATTCACTATCGACGGCTTACCTGAAATAAATGTTTTCCCCCTTAGTTGAATACGTATTATAGCATAGACTGCTACATTTATTCCTGCGATAGTGCAGGTGGGAACATGTTTGGTAACTGATTCTAAGTGCGAAGGTTCATAGTGGCTTAGGTCTGAAGTCGGACGTAGACGCACCTAATTTCATGCCGAGAGTCAGCCGTCTGAACTCGGGGCATTCGTTTAATAAGTATGTACACGATTCTGCTATATTCGCTTTCTAATCTGACAACCTATTTGGCAAAGATCAACTTCAAAGTTCTCGAAAAGTTCATAATGCTCTGTTTGACAAGGCGGCTTTCGTACCAATCTGCACAATACAACGGTGCAAATCCCAGCTAAAATAAAGACAATTTGAGCACCGTCTCAATAGAATATTGAGCTAGTCGAGCACGCCCGACTAAAGTGAATGCTTATGACTGGTTTACTGCACTGACGGCAGCAAAGAGCATGGACCTCCATGACTATCGGAATTGCTAGCTATTGGATTAGGTTGATATAGCTGGTGGCACCGAAGGCTCCACAGAGCACTTGCGTCCTACGAGTAGAATCTAGCTGCAAAGTTTATGTAGTTAAGGCAAATCGATATCTTCTATGGAAAAACTTACCACAAATATTGGGTTACATACTTATGTGATACGGTGATACGCACGAATTCTAAGATGAGCTCCTGTTTTATATACAGACGTCTACAGGTTTGTTTGCTTGCTTCGAATCTACATCTCTGCATAGGACATCTACATTATGTTTGTTTTAGCTAATACGACATTCGCGGTAGTCTGTTATTTGCTTCCGCTGTTGTATTGATTGATTCTATGCGAAGTTGTACAGGTAAAGTGCGTGTAACACAATCCCAATAATAACGGTAAGGGTTTTCTTTTGTTTTTCTTGCTATCAGGCCCTTCAGTATGTTCTTTTATCTACATCTAGCCTTTAATTGTACATTTGCCTGCGTCTGCCACAACAGATGCAAAGTCGGGTCATCGATAAATGGTATCGAGAGATCATTTACGCCGTATTTGGAGTTATCACAGGGTTATTCGAAGACAGCGTTGTAGGTAGAAAATAGCGGAGATTCATTTACAATTGATGCGAAACGCCAATGCGTGACTGAATGCACAGAAGGATACTAGCTGCTGTTAGATCGTATGCTGGCTGCAGCTTTTCTTTGTCCGGTAAATGATCTTCCCGCTTGTTTTTGAACCTTCGGGTCGTTTCGGTTTTTAAAATTGAATAACATTTGATCTATTTGGGATCTAATGATAATTTTTATGTCTGTTAGAGATACCAGAGCATTCGTCGCAGCACTCTGATAGCCATATACCTACCATTCACGCTCCCGTATGCAATTTCTTTATTTATGGTTCCTCAAAGTAAATCGATAGTGCAATGTGCGATATGCAATTGTCTCATGGAAACATAGAAAACCCGTAGTCATACAGATTTAGAGTGGATGAATGAGCGGGCTGAAGCTAACATTAAATACTTTTTTTCTTAGTACAATAAGTAAGTGAGGCATGGCCATGCGGTCTGGCGTTGTCGTCAAACAACCAGACTCCGTGCTTTCAATTGGCATGCCAACGATCCATGAGTCTCTTCAGAAATTCGAAATAGCAGGCTTCATTCATTGTTTCATTTTCGGAGAGTATCTCATAGTAGCAGATGCCCCTGGTGATCATTGCAAGTGCTACAATCATCTCACGTCCAAACTTACTCGACGCTACCACCGAACCTTGATTTCTCTCCAGGGCAACTCTATTTTCTCGCCTGATCCTTCTTTGGCTGGTGGTAGAGATTGGAGCATGTCTGTCGTTTATGATCACTGTGTACTCCAAACAGATTTTTGCTGATTAAAGTTCCGCAATTGCACGTGAAATTCCGCATTGCCAACTAATCTGGAGTTCACTTATAAGGGACTATGTCTTCCCAATTTTCGCTTCCTCAGTATCTGGGTTATAATTTTTTTGGCCGATCAAACCTCTGAAATCCACCCTCTGTTTTTTGGTGAAAAACTTCCTTGATTGCGGCAATGCGGTCTTGTCCTTCGGGTCCTGATATCTGATCATATCTTCGCTAGTCTTCAACGCTGTTCTTGAAATATTTATACCACTCACGTACTGGATTTGCTGAAGGCCTCCTTATATAACGCCTTCAGCAAGCTTTGGTTTCCGTGGCGGTGCGGCCTTCGAAGAACAGACACTTGATCAGTGAGAATCGATTTTCGTGATCAAAAGATGCTTTTCCTTTTGAATCCATTTTTCCTAGAGTAAATTTAACTGGCTGATTGTATAAGATTGGATTATGTGTCAGCTAAATTTCATTTGAAAGTTTCAAATATTGTAATTTCAAAATTGTTTGATCTATATTTTTTGCATGCTGGGCTTTGCTACACCATGAGAGTGTAGAGCCCCTTTGTACGCGTCGCTAATGGAAACGTTTAATGATATAACAACATATTGATTGAAATTGTGAAAATATTAAATATATAGAAAAAGTATAAACTTTAATCAATTTAGTTTATAGCAAGCGATGATGATGATGATAATAATTTATATCCCGTTCGAACCGTGGCTGTAGGGAAAATTCAGGTTTCGCCGAGTGGAAACTATGTTACACACTGGGACATAAAAGCTCAGCAGACCGTTCATATCTAACAGGCAAACCCAGTTTTTAACGATGGCTTCATCTTGATTGAAAGTGAGCTAGAAGGGCCGATTCGCTAAACCTTGGATGAAGAAATCATGTGGATTAATGTGGATCTAACAGAAACGCAATATGATTTTTAGATATCGTATGTATAACCAAGATAGATCGGCTGTGGTTAGCCAACTCTTAATTGCCCCTAATCATATGCCGGGGATTACGACTTTTCGATCGTTCAGATGGACTCCATTATAATATGGACATCAGTTAAGGCGCGTTATAGGTTCTTCGAAGTGTTTTTTGTGACATTTTCCGAGCTCAAGATGAGTTTCTCAGGCACAAATTTCTTAGTGCGGGGTTTCTCTATCGTTCTCGAGATGTATTTTATTAGACATAATATGAATATAATAATATATATGGACTTATCCTGCTTTAGATTATGATATATTTGGAAGGTTGAGGCTATATAGATCACTAATAATTTTGTGTGTGTGTGTGTGTGTGTGTGTGTGTGTGTGTGTGTGTGTGTGTGTGTGTGTGTGTGTGTGTGTGTGTGTGTGTGTGTGTGTGTGTGGGGGGGGGGGGGTATGACTCTAGCTAGAAAAAAAAACGATACCTAATGCGGTAAGTTAAACGGGTAAAAATGATGGACTGTCTATCATAGGTCTACATGAAGTTTTACTGAGTTGTATGAGTCCAAGTTGCTAACAGCCAAGAAATACTGTATTTCGTCCGAGACAAATGCGGGGGATCAAAGCCGATTTAATCATATCGAAGCCTACACGATTCAGCTTATATATGACTCTGTTGTAAATAATTATCTATGGTAAATTCACGACAATATCGTTTCGCCTGAACAATATATACGCCTAACTCAATATATACACATAGACGCATCCCTACAACGCTGAATTATACCTTGACGTTCTTTCAATTTCTCTGCATGCATGTTTGAAATACACTGCTATCTATAGCTTTACTTTATCCTGGTTCACATATCGTTCATAGTCGGTGGGCCGGCGTGTTTTACATGGCTATTGTGGATCTCTCTGCGTTCGTTGCCGTGGTAACCAACAAGGAATAAGCACATGGCCACTGCTGGTACATATTTTAACGTTAGGAAAAATGGTTTCTATACTAAGTCACTGGGTAGGGGGTCAGGGGGCTGCTTGTTTGCTTACCACGGCTTCATGGGTCTGTTAGAGAAATCCCAGATAATTCCGGCAAAACCCGTTCCAGTCTGACTCTTAGTGCTAACAGGTCCTAAAACAATGATTGTGGTGCGGATTTATTCACACAGCGGCAATAGCCGGGAGGGTTCAAAAAAATTGACTGAGATTAAAAGTAAAAAGCCTTTAAGGTGATTATGTAATTTAAGCTGATGTAGTGGTTTTTATACAACGCAGCCTTCAGTTTGTTTTAGAAAATATAGCCTTAGTACAGGCGAAATTGTTTACCGCTTAACAAAAGTTTGATAAAATGCTAAAACATGTTTGCTTGTCCGATACTTTTGAAGTATGGTCAGCGATCAAAGAAAAATCCAGCAGCGCGCGTTGTACGACATTTTTGAGCCGTATGCATTTCATAGAAATTGAAAGCTTACTGTATTGAAATTTCAGATCAACGTAATAGAGAACAGAGTGTTTCATGTAGAAATGTAATCATTGTGGGGTGTTTTTACATAAAAACTAAACCTTAGCAATTTAAAAAGGCCATATTATAGTGTTGTTCAAAACTACAGATTTCCGTTTACTTGCGATACGCGATCCTGCTTTGATTATCTGCTTACTCAACTGAATCAGTTGTTTTAGCCTCGTCTAAGTTCTCTCTCGCTTATGCGAACAGAGCATGAGCTCTAATCCCTGTTACATCCGTTATTATGAACCGGTATGGTAGAACTTGCTTTTTCTGTTTCTGCAGCCATCAGACTAAAAACATGATTTCTAGATATAACCGAAGTTGAGAGTTTACAAGTATGCGATAGACAGTCAGGTGGAAGGTGGAGGCGGTGGTATTTTAGCAGGACTCTATATGAACGTATATGCCAAGGAGTTAAATGTTATTTCTGACCGTAGAATATGCCATGCAAATGGTTAATGTTGAATCTGCCTAATGTTTAACTATCTGACGCTGGTTGCTCATCCTGCCGGCTCGGGCTTACCCTAAACACAATGGCACGAATGTATTGTTTTTTTTCTAAATACGGGGTGTTGGCGTTTTAACCGTTAGTAGCTGCCTTTCAAGTTGTCGAAAATAACATCTTCCTGAAGTTAACCCACGTTCATACCGATAGGAAACTTACATAGTGGATTCGAATAGTTACAGAATTATTTATAAAGCCAAATCGAACATTATATTTATACTGTTTCAGCAGCGTTCGCTCCTTCGACTGCTAACTGAAGTGGCAATTAAGTATGGCGTCGTGCTTTAGCATGCTGGCCCAGGGGGCGGAAATTTCGAAAGGGACCTTAGAGGTCGATATAACTACCACTTGTTCGCTAGATTCGATATCATTGGGCCAATTAAATGTAGTTTTCCCATTAAAATTCCAGCGACTCATTCTCGAAAAAAAAAGGATAAAAATTTAACATTTACATAAACTGAAAATTACAGTACGCTTCCATATATCTCAGTATTAGTTTCAAAACTTCAAATTAAATAAACGTTTTTATACACGAGATAGATATACTAGCTCTACAATAGGGCTAAGCTTGAAGGCCGAAAGAAACAAGTCTAAAGCTGAAAAAAGAGGTCTTCTATTAGGAAGAAGGTAAATCAACAGCTGAAGCTAATACTTCTTCAGCCTTAAACGTAAATTTTTTCCGTGGTTATAAGATATCTTTGAAATTTTTTTACCCGCCCTTGTCTAGAGCTATGTTTGCACGTCTTCTCATATTATCGGAAGCCCTCAAGCTTTGCACAGGTCATTATTGTCATTTCTCTATCTGTAATCTGACAATACGACCACCATAAATTACACTGTCGTATATAATGAAATATCATTGGCGTCTGTTGATTTTCTAAAGCGGGCTAACGTGATAATCACGCCCCGTACCACACCTAATATACGTGCAAAAAACCTACCAGCGGAGTTCGGCTCGATGATTGCAGCTGTTTTTTTTTTTCATTATCCATCATGATTCGTGCATAGTTTTGTTACAATAGTCTGCTCTGCTACCAGATAAGCAGGAGTTCCCGCCATGATTCTGTCACGACCCATGTTGTTATTGTTCGATCCTGTAGCACCGCATGCCTCGATAGCTGAAGGCAACGAGCTGTCCGTGGTCAGCGGAAGCATAGTCAGTCTGACGTGTGTCATCCAAGATTGTCCCTATCCGCCGTCGCATGTATTCTGGTATCATGGCAAACGTGTCATCAACTATGATAGACACTCCCGCATCAATATCACGAGTTTATTAGACGTATCACCACAGCAGTTGTTGACGCCGACGCAACGTGACGAATCAAGCGATATCAGTCGAGTTGTGTCAAGGCTGATAATTTCCGATGTGACAGAGCAGCATTCTGGCAGGTATACGTGTGCCCCGGTTCACGCGACGCCGGCAACCGTCCACGTGCATGTTCTTCATGGTAAGTGACTTATGTTGATATAGGCTAAGGCGAGTTTGGTTTTCTCTTGTTTATTTTTATTACATTATAGTTTTCTACTATTTAATAGAATATGAAATAAGAAGATGATGCAGCCTTTGAACGTGGTCGTCATCATCATGCACGAACGAACCCCGTTAATGGTGCTATAGCTTTTTGACTTTCAAAATCTACTGTGTTTTTTGTTTAGCGAATTGTATATTATTATCTTGTGTCTTGCTAGTGTTTTTTTTGGGGTCACAAGTTATAATCCTGGATGCACCAATGTTTTTTGCGCCAATAACCGTTTGAATATACTCTAAAGTGTCTATTCTCCAGGAAATATGAACGATTTTAAAAACTGGTGTCCATCTTGTTTCCAGCGTATCTTAAATATTAAGTTGTCTCTCATTTGCATCGTTTATGCTGTTTTAGAGCTCAAAAACGGCACCCATTTTTGATGTTCATTATTTCAGTGAGTTGGTTGAAATCCACTATTTTTTTTTAGTTTATATGTGAAACACAGCTGGTATATTTTACGTGACTAAGGTTAGACAACAAACATCAAGATCACAGTTCACATTACTGGCTCAGGCACCCAAAAATAACGATAATAATAATGTTAGGATACGTAATTACGAAGCACAGTCTAATTCGTATTCAAAATAATAAATTAATCAATAACCTAACTAAGAAAAATAAATTAAAGAATGCTCTTTATCGACACATATGGAAAAATTATCTCTACTTCGCGTCAGATAATAATTAGTTACTCGAGCTGGAAAAAGCGCAAATAAGCTTTGAGAGCGCGTGGTGATACTTCACATGTTTATATGGATACTGCATTCTATTTCAGCTGAAGAGCAAATGTCTCGACAGTCTTCCTCTGGTGCATCGAGAATATCGACGTGGAATACCTTCCTAACACTTCAAACTCTCGGACCCGTGCTTGCTTTCCAAATGGCCTTTTTACTTGTTATCGTTCGGACTACGTGACAACACCTTAACCTTAAATGGGTGTCCTTCCATTCGGTAACAACGCATTTCGTACTCCACTTGCAACTGGGCTTGGCAGTTGGTTGTATTTTGTCCTAATAAAATCACAAGTTATCGAAATTGCTATTTCTCAAAAAAAACATTTTCTCTAAGCCTTGTTTACTTGTTTAAGTACAGCAGAATCAGAAAATCTAAAATTTACTATGCTGTATCGATATAGAAAATGGAAAGCGACGGTCCCCCGGTTCTAAACACAGTACAATCAAGTAGAATATTGAAATTCTGACAGTTTTACAAATATCCGTCAGCATGTTTCAATATCACTCACTGATTTGCGCTAGTTTTACAATGTTGGTTTTCAGATACCTTCTACAAAGGATGAGGCTTCATCTTCATGCACAAAAGAAGCCCAAAGTGGTTGCGTGCCGTGCGTTGTCTTAGATGTTCCACCCCTATGTGGAGACATTCATCAGAGTCCACTGGATAGGATGCAGCGGGAAGAGTCCAGCTATCGTCAATTCAACCCAACAGGGTTCGAGGTCGATTCGCTGCCATTGAGAGATATGTCCCCGACGAGCGTCGTAGGATCAATTCTATACGATCAGCAGAGCTTACACGGATCGACGAAGCTACGAAGGACTCTCCCTAGAACCCACATGACAGCTTCTATGAGCACCCCCGCTGCTTCCGCCATGCCTATGGACTCCCTAGTGGCTACCAGCCATATTCCTCTGTACGAGCGAGTATTGAATCCTTCTGCCCTCGCAGGCACTGGCCACCTCTCGCAACACCAGCATAGCGTACAGATACAGTCAGAGTCCGATTTTCTTTGAATTGTGCTGTGACAATGTGGGGAGAATAAACTCTGGGAAGAAATATGGGGAGAAAGAACTCTATAATGAAAAAAAATAAAAGATGAAGGTGTGATCAAAATTAGGACAGCACTCGAACAACAACACCAACTATCCGTCTAAATAGGGCAGCAATAATAAGGCACAGGTATGAGGAGCACAATTTGGGATTTATATTTTTCGGGCGAGTCCACCACTGCTAGAGGTTTTTCACAGGACTCCGGCTTCAAGGTGTCTTCACCACCCATGTACGATGACCACATGTATCAAACAAAAAAAAGTAAACGATTATGGTGGGTTGGGGGAGGAGGAGGGAGGGAGGGAGGGAGGGAGGGGGGTAACGAAACCGCTGCTAAGTAAGCTGAACTGCTTTTCCTGTGAAAATTACTGTCGTCGTATGGGAGACGAAGCGTTCGTCTGTTGGATACTGAAAACTGCAATTGCGGTTGTATGCACGTGTTGGTGTGAGTATTTTGCAAATTGAGTGACATGAGAGGATACGCAAATTTTATTATCAAGATTTCATTCTGATAGCTGGGTACGTTTGCGTCTAGTATTGAGGCATCCACAACAGCCAATACATAGAGAATTTCGTAAGATTCCACTTTGACAAAATTCGACCTAGCAGAACCTGCCGGTCCCGGTAGCAGAAGGATGTGATCATACTGTTATACTCTCTGGATTGTGTGCTGGTGCTAATAAACAGGTTTTCTTGTTTATTATGATAGGACACGAGTAAGGTTAAACGGGGACATATTATGACATCATCTGGATTGTGTGGTGGCATTGCTAGTTTCCTTCATTGTTATGTCAAGAAGCGAGTGGGCTTAAACAAGAAATAAATAGCAAGCAAGACTGTTAGTGAGGTCAAAGGAACGCAAAACATTTACAAAATTGATAGGAAAACAGAAGTAGGCTGGAGGTATGGATCTATCGGAAAAGTTATGTAAAATTCTATAGGTCGAAGTGGCTTCTGTTTTTCGAACGCGCTATGTTATGCTGAGGTGACTGTTAAACGCCATGGTAGCTAAATAAACTACGTTGTTGTCACGGTAGACGGAGGCGCGAGCGAGAACGTCAAAAGTGTCAAAAGGAGAATGCGAAAGGCAACAACAGCGCTCTGATACCGGCTCAAACTACCTTTTAGTAGGTATACGCATGTACATATACATGTTACATAAGGAATGAAGTTGGTGAAAACGGGAAGCTACCAACTGTTTTGGTTGCTTGTTCGTAAATTGTTCTTTTCGTGCTCGTTTGCCCGACCTTCGGTACCAGTTGGGTCTCGCATTAAACGGGTCCTTCCTTGAAATCACGACGAAAGGTAGAAGGGACGGCGACATGGCATTTCGCTGAAGGTGGCATCCCTGTACAAACACTGACTAGAGGCTCAACGAAAGGATAAGACGTAACATAGAAAAAGTAAGAAAAAAAAAAAAACAGAAGATAAATAAAAATTAAATAATATATAATGCATAGATAAAATAGAAGACGAAGGGCAAAATGAAACGATGATTTTGTCCGTTCAAGTAATCTCGCTTTCTAGTAGTCGCGAGGCAAATCTGGATTGTTGATATAGGGATCGTATGCGTCGTCTTTCTATAACGTAGAACGCGTTGTGCAATAATATAGAAATAACGGCGAAGTCGGTTCAATAATTAGGCCTATAACAATAAAGCATAGGTAAATTAAAACGATATTGATAATTTTTGATCTCAGCAAACAGGAACAAAATTAGCCATATTTATGCTAAGTATTGCTATAATCACTACCGTCACAATAGCGGCATATCATAGACGCGAACGCGTTTCAATTCCTATGAACGGGATTATTACTGTTTCTCTTACAGCTCAGAATAACAATTTTCTGACCTCAAGTTTTTCCTAACCCCATAAAAAGGGGGAGATGAGAACGCAAAAGGGACGCTATAATGCGCCGTAACTGTGAGAAAAAAGGGTAGAAAAAATTTCGTCTACGAATAATTGTGACGTACTTGATATCCGAGTATATCGGCTAGTGACGATGACAGATAAAAGGAAGGACAACAGGAATAAACATATTTTTCAAGCGAACTAAGTGAGAAACTTTGGTTAATCGACGAAAAAAGCAGAAAACCCACTCAACTAGGAAAGGATAAATGCAGAATGCTAGACGAGAAAGACATTATGTTGTTGAATAAAACGGAAGAATTTTTGGCGTACATGAAAAGCATGCGAAAATTTATAATTAAAAAAAAAAATAAATAAATAACGGTGACCATGATCAACTAGTTAGAGAAACGATAAATATATATGAAGCAACTATGTGCATACTGTGATACTCTGTAAATAAAAACGACATGAAGAGAGATTACATCATGCTCAACAAGTGGTGTATTTATTCGTTGATAATATATAGTAGCAGTATCCGATTGTAACAAAGTCGGGTTTGTAGAATCAAAATACAAAATAGGACAGGAACATCATCGTGAGAAGTCTTATATCAGCTATAGCTAGCTTCTGGTCTTACTTTTTTAATTTATAAAATATAATAATAATAAATAATAACTAACCGAGCGCAATAGTTCTGAGTGTTCATTGAGCGAAATGTTTAAAATAGCCTCCAAATGGAAGCTGTGATCAGTCTACACTCGGATCTCAGATTGTACTCGATCTTGTATGTGAATTTATATTGATGTTTCGTCTCCCGTTGAAAAAGAGTCTCCTCACAAGGTGTCGTATCTGGAAGGACCTTAATGATGCACACAAATATATTACAAACAATCAGTTGATATTGATATTAGTTAGAAAATGCAAACATAATATGCCGAACGTATGCAGGTAGGCAATTTTTCGGCCGAGAAGTTACTGTATCTCGGATATGTCGTGCCATTTCTATCTGCTGAATGAATTCAGGTCGTATTTTTAACGGATAACATAACGAATACGTTGAGTTCGTGAGTCACAAAAACGATTTCAGGCTTCGTTGTTTTACGAATGTCGTTGTAGTTCTTTATAGCTGTTTCGTATACGATAAGCTTGAAAATCGTCCCCACAGCCGGAACAACGTGGTGAAGCAGATCTTTTTTAAACTAAGCAGTGGTCCTAAATAATGCAGCTATATAGCAGCGAGCCTATCTAGACCTATATGCGCAATATGTGCGAAAAAAGACTAGTGGAATGATGGTGACGATGGGATATTTGTGGTCTGTGGCGCTAATAGAATAGAGCAGGATCTTAAGGGCCCTTATTCGAAACAGTATAATATGGCCAAGATGTCAGTGAGAGCCCTTAAGCCGCAACGACCTGATATGCCTAATGCTTGCAGACTTCAAAAAGAATTGAATCTGGTAAATACAAAGGTGAAAAGGTGCTTCATGCAGTTTCAATGTATCATAACCTAAGCACCAAGTAATAATAGAGAACACTTCATTTCCTTAAAGGGGAAGAGTTCTCAAATAATTTCTCTGTCAAACTAAAAAGCGCGAGCCGTCCCCGCGAGCGTTTCCCCCCGAGGAAACCCAAGTCAACACTGTTAAAGTCAGGAAAGCGAACAATACATCCATACGCAAGTCAAATATTTTCAAGTTTCTGCACATTGGCTCAAAATGGGGCATTGTCAGCGCCAGACGTAACACTCCTGGATATAAGCCATTTCTATTAATTTAGTTCGAGCGGTCTAGCCGAAGTCAAACTCTGGGCTACAACCCTTAACGCTTGCCCCGGAAAAAAAGGTAAGTCTAACAACGGACCCTTATATAATAAGAAAGTTCAGTTACCAACCGTTTAGTTCTTATTGTTTCGATAGAGACAGAATGCCGAATCTGTGTAGCCATGCTGAGGATGAAGCATATGAGGTAATATTACCTACCACCAGGATACAGAAAGGCACATGTATACCATCACCAACTATTTAAGCTAGTGGTCCATTTTGAAATGATACGAAGCAAAAAAAACATGACAGCGGTCAAAAAAAATTGACAAAAAATAAAAGTCCGATCAAACTAACGTCGATCTTTGCTAATTTCTTCGGAATTGATAATCAGCGGATTATTTTATCACCTATGTACATTAGAACTGTATTGTAAAACTGTTCGAGCCTGGGATAAGCCGTTTAACTAATTATAGAGTAACTGTTATTATTTCTACAAACAAAATAGTTTGCGAAAATGTTCTAGAACACCGAAATGGTAGTATGTAGATTACCTTCAACTTCATACTCAAAAGTGTCCCTTCGAGATCTCTCTTAAACTCTCACTGAAGCACGACAGAAACTCTTCTGAAGTTCAACTACGGTGCAACAGGAACTGCTTTGCAGAAAGCTCAATACCAAGTTAACGGAATCCGATTCGATGTTACCTTCGGCTATATGTCGAAAAAGCCGATCAAATGATTATGAGGTCAGTCTTTGGAAATTCTGGAGGCTTGAAGAGAACTGCTTACGGTATAAAAAAACAAATCAACGCAACAAATAAAGAGCCTAGGCTAAGTCAATTTCATTATCAGAAGATTAAGTCTGTTTAATTAACAGAGGGTCAAAAAATCGCCGAACGTTCAAGCTACGGATAGCTCTAACTCAAGGAAGCGAGAGAGGCTGCCAGGAACTCTACTTGGTTTGACCTCACGTTCCGCTGTCTAGTACCACGTGCTCTACGAGGTACGGAGATTAATTAATTAAAACTGACTGAATTTGGCACGACTAATGATGTCTTGCCAAGTTCAGTCAGTTTTGAAAAAATGCATACAATTTTGCTTACGTCCGTGTGGGCACGGCCGCTTTGAAGTCATCTCAAACCTAGACAGCTAGATAGAAACTTAGATCGGAAACAAGAGTAGTCGTATCACCGCTGCCCACCAAAAAGTGGCCAGTTTATGCGACATGATGATCAATGTACCTGAAGGCGGTATTTTTGATGAAGGGCATATGGGTTGGCGGCCTTCGGGTTTCTCGGTATCAACATACCTGAAGCCTACTGCTCTAATTTGCCAACAGCAGTCCCTATTTGTGTACGCTGCTTGTTGAAATAACCCGTCTCGGATTAGCAAGAGCAATCAGTATTCTTTTTTTAGTGGACATGCCTCCGAAGGCCGGTGTCGGGTTTTTCCGGTCGACAACGAAGCATCCGATCAAATTCACCGGTCGAATCTGTTTTTGTCGGGGAAAAACGAGCCAATCTTCGAATGTTATCTAAGAACACCACAAACTAGTCCTAGGTTTAGCAAGCACCGTTGGCGTTCACGAATCTGCTAAATGTTTCAAAAGTCTCTTTATAATGACAAGTTTTCTCCA